CTAAACTGACTTTTATTCTTTTGGTTATATACAGAAATGATATGGCTGTGTCATATAGGAGTTCTATTTAAACTTTTTTCTTTATTGGCCCTTTGAGCTTAGGGCATGGGCACTATCTCTCGGGTTTTTCACTGAAGGCTAGCACTCTATCACTTTGAGCCACACCACCACTTCCAGTTGTCTGGTGGTTAATTGGAGATAGGAGTCTCATGGACTTTCTTGTTCAGGCTGGCTTCAAACAGAACCTCAGACCTCAGTCTCCTGAGTAGCTAGTATTACAGGTGTGAGCTACTGGTGCCTAGCTCTATTTAAAAATTTTGGTGAATTTCCATACTAATGTCCAGCAGTGAATGAGCTTCTCCCTTGCCTCCCCACATCCCTTGCAGCATTTATTGTTTTCTATTGTGAGGTAGGACCTTAGTGTACTTTTGATTTGCATTCCTGATGGCCTAGAATGTTGAACATTTTTTCATGTACTTCTTCATTTGAAGTATCTTTCACTTTCACTTTATTTGCCCACTTATTAACTGGATTATTTGTTCTTTTGGTGTCTATTTTTTTAGTTCTTTATATAGTTTGGATATGAATTCCCTGTCATACACACAGCTGGTAAATATTTTCTCCCATTACTTTATTTGTTTTGCTGTGCAGAATCTTTTAAATTTGATCCAATTCCATTTATCACCTTGTTTTATTTCCTGAGCCACTGGAGTCCTTCTAAGAAAGTCTTTGCCTCTATTCATATTGTGAAGTATTTCTCCTATGTTGTTTTATAGTAGTTTCAGTTTTAGATCTAATATTATGTTCTTTAATCCATTTTGACTTTTTTTGTTTTGGAACAGTGTAAGAGATAGGATCTAGTTTCAGCAGATAGATTTACTACTGAATTCTACTAGACATTTAAAGAAAAACTAAATCAATGCTTTTCAAACTATACAAATAAAAAGGGACACCACACTTCCAAAATCATGTTCTTACTCTGATAACAAAGCCAGATTAGGACATAGAAATACTATATGTCAATCTCCTTTATGAACACAGATGCAAAATCCTCAATAAAGTTCTTGAAAACCAAATTCAGCAACACATTAGAAAAAAAAATCATACATCATGATTAAGTTGGCTTCATTCCAGGAATGCAAGGATGGTTTAATATATATGAATGTATATTGAGGCATATAAAGCCAATGTCTTCTAAAGTGTAGTATAGCATATAATCTTCCTTCATACTTTCTGTCTCACCTGTGTTTAGCATGGTCCAAAAACTATTGTGACATAACAAACCATCTCTAAATTTAGTGACTTAAACACGAATCATTTACTTTGCACATTTATCATCAATTTGGGAAGTCACTAAAAGTAAGCTTCAAGTTTACTTTACATAAAACAGAAATCTGGAGGAGTCTATTTCTGAAAAGTGATATTGACATGGTGGGAAATTTTGTGCTTAAAAACAGTCAGGACCACTTAAAAGACTCTGGAGAAGGAGCTGTGGTTTCTTTTCACCTGTTCCTCCTCACTGTATGATGTCTGGGTTCAAAAAGAGAGAGACAGAGAGACACACAGACACACAGACACACACACAAAGAAGAAAGAGAGAGAAAGAGAGAGAGAAACAAGAGGTATAAGAAAGGAGAAACAAGGGGTATGGCAAAGGAGAATCAACCAGGCGGAAGTGGTATCATTTTTTATAACTCTGCCTCAGAAATCTTCTTTGCTAATAGTCAAAGCAGTCACTTCCCAATCCTTCCAAAGTACTAGAGGAGGGGACATATCCTCCTCCTTTATTATGAAGTGGCTAGATTCTGGAGCAGCAAACAGGACAGAAAATATAATTGTGTCCACTTTCCAAGAAGACAATGTACTAAAATTAGGTTCCCCTTAGGGTGAAGACATGGAATAGGAAGAATCCAAGTGACTGTGTAATATCAAATGGAGGAAATATTTGACCAGGCCCTACAGGAGAACTCTAGGGTATAATTCCTACATAAAGTTTATTCTAACATGAGGTAATGGAACTAGGATTTGGTAATGCTGCACCACTCAGAAAGGACAGCATGGAGAATCAATCTGAGGTACTTCCAGCTGTTTGCTTTTGAAGGCACAGCGGCTACAGGAGCCTGAGCTAGGAGCTCTTCTGCAAGACAAATCCGAGAGATATGAGCTGTCTGAAGCAGCTAAGGCTGGAAAAAGGCATATCAAACAGGAAAAAGAGGTCTCAGAGGTTTTAGGTGGAGCACAAAAAGTACCTACCACATCCTGCCAGAACATAAACTCCATAATAAAAGATACTTTTATTTCACTTACTCATATAACCTCAGTGTCCAGTAAGAGTATGTGTTATATAATAGGTGATCATTAAAGTATGTGAAATTGAATGGACTTGTCAGTGAGAATAACTCTTTCTTCTGTTTTTTATACCTTGTGCCTGTAAGTCTTCTATCCAAAGTAATGAGTTTTAAGTTTTTGGCAGCATTGGAGTTTGAACTCAGGGCCTTGCACTTGCTAAACTGGTGCTCCAACACTGAGCTGCTTCCTTTCCAGGTGTGTGCCTGGACTGTGACCCACCTATTTCAGGCTTCCTGTTGTAGGCAGGATAACAGTGTATGACACTGTGTCCAAGTATGGGTCTTTTGAACCTTTCTGCCTGGGCTGGTCTTGAAACACTATCCTCCCAATCTGAGCCTCACAAATGACTAGGCTTAACAGGTATGAGCCACAGGCACTCACCTGTATCTTTGAATAGTTTTATAGTCATTTTCCTTACACTAGTTTTCTGATGCCCCTGGAGTTTTTCATGTTGACTGGTTTACTTGCAAGTAATATTTACTTACACAAATATTTATCCTATAGATTGATAAAATGTATTTATCCACCACTCAAAATGAGATACAGAAGATTTTCATCATCCCTGAAGGTTCTTATGCCTTTTTCTTACAATAATAATTTCTACAATACAGCTAACCACTGTTCAGAGTTCTATAAGCACAGAATTTGAAAACAAATAAAAAGTCTCATTAAGAAATTATTTCCCAGGGGTGGGGGTAGTTGTGGAGGTGGGAGGGAAGGGATGGTAGGGGGAAACAAAGAAGGAGGCAACAATGCTCAACAGGAAATGTACTCATTACCTTGCTCTTGTAACTGTAACCCCTGTGTACAGCATTTTTCAATAAAAAATGTACAAAAAAGAAATTATTTCCCTATAAGCAAAAAGATAGTTTATTTTATAAGCCTTAAATAATCATAAAATAAGGCTTATTATTTCAGGTTAAAACATTTTTAAATAAAAAATGTACATTGCAAAAAAAGAAAATAATTTTCATGACTTGAATTTTCAAAACTAACTGAAATAATTTGAGATTTCAACCCAAACATAGGTTGTGTTATTTCATATGAAGGTGAACAAATGAAAGTGGAGATTGGTCCAAAAAGTGAACCAAAACAATTGAATAGGAGCAAAATTGGTAAAAATGTTGAAAGGGGCAACATTGATCATGATGCATTGTGTTCATAAAGTGCTTTGTTAAATTCCAACTCCTTTGCACCACTTACAGATAAAAAATAAGCAAAATGGGTCCAACAAAGCAGAAAAAAAGCAAAGTTTGTGATTTTGCCTTTTCCATTGAGATTCACGTGGAATTGTTTCTGTGTGGTGATATGGTGGGAGCTCATGGTACAGCACCTTGTGCTGGGAAGGCTGTCCTGTTCCAGAACCTCCCAAGTGCTCCCTGTTTGTTTGTTTTTTTTCCTAATTCTAAAAAGTGAATTTATTTATTTATTTGTCGGTTGTGGGGCCTGGACTCTGGGCCTGGGTGCTGTCCCTCAGCTCTTCAGCTCAAGGCTAGCGCTCTACCACTTGAGCCACAGTGCCACTTCTGGCTTTTTCTGCTTATGTGGTGCTGAGGAATGGAACCCAGGGCCTCATGCATGCAAGACAAGCGCTCTACCACTGAGCCACCTTCCCAGCCCTAAAAAGTGAATTTAAATAACCACTTAATTCTGCTTTTACTAACACAATGAAACTGTGGTTCAAAAAAGAGTATTCATGCCTACCTAATATTCCCCGTCCTACATGAAGTTTTGTGGATATGCTTTCTACCCTGTGGGGGCCACTTTATGCTAACACTACCCTCTCTCAATAGTAGAAAATAAAGCCAAATACGAAAAAATAAGTGGCACAATGAAAATAATGTAATAAAATATAATTTAAATCAAGGGAAACCAAAGTTAAACAGGAAGCTGAAAACAAAAAGTAATGGGACTACGGCATAAGAGGGTAGGGGTTCAGGGAGCCTTTGACTTAGATTTTGAGGTTCATGTTTCTCTGGTCTACTTTGTGGGCCAATCTGTTCTTCTGGAGCATGTATATCAGTGTTTACATTTTTGTCTTAGACTTACCAGTGGTTTCCCTTTCTTTTAGCATCAGTAATAGGGTTGTCTTCTTTATACCTTTGGCCTGTTTCCTCTCAACCTGAGCCCATTTTCTAGCATGTACCATGACCTGGAGATGTCACTTTCCTAGAACCCAGGGCTGTTAGGAGCCTTGGCCATGAAAAAGGGAGGTATTGGTAAAAGAGATCACTCGGGGAGAGGCAGGTCTAATGGCTCCTGTTTTGATCATGTAAAATGGATGACAAAGGTCAAGCTATATGTAGTGTCAGGAAGAGCAGTAGATTTTCCTGTTAATTATTGAAGCTAGTTTCTGAAGGAGGAAAAGGATGTCAAGATATTGTTTGGCTGAGTAAATGCACTACTAATTACAGCCACCTGCTCAACTGTTTGCAGCCAAATCTTGTGTAGGTCATTGCACATGAGTCCAGTTAAATTTGTTGTACTTGAAAACAGTAATAAAGTCTATTTATAATGCTCAGCTTTCTAAAGATGGTCCTTCTCATTTATATTTATAATGCGCAGCTTTCTAAAGATGGTCCACCTTATTTATATTAAATGTCATCACTTCAAACAAATTGAAGAGAACTTAAGTCATGATTTCCCTTATAAGACCTTTATTAATTCCAGAAACAAAACAGAAAGAAGCAAAGTGATTTTGAAAAATTGGTGTGATTTTAGGTACAGATATGTAGGGATGGCAATTGAGAAGACCATTAAGAGAAGGAAAACAGGCTGGAGAAGAACCTTCAGTTTGTACTTAGACCTGTAGGTCACGATGATTCAGGTGACATTTGCTTTACAACGAAGTGGCTCATACAGTGACTCCATGTGGTTGCTTTGTGCCTTGATGGCTAGGCTGTGTGCTGGGCCTCAGGACTCCTTCTTCCCCAAGGAAAGCTTAACTTCTCAGAATTCCTGGGTTTTTGGCCTTCCCAACTTGCAGGCTGAGACCCTTCTGTTCTCCATCCTGCACCAGAAATGGAACAAAAAAGGAGCTACAAGAAACAATGTGGGATTAATTGCTGCATTGCTGTTGTATTGATTCACAAATCTTTCAGGAAGGTATTCACTGCACTATGCACAGACATGCCATGTGCATGACTCATAATGGTCTCTGCTCTCATTTCTGCAACACACACCAGGTCCGTGGTCCGTAGCACAGTCCTGGCTTACATATATAGACTGTCTCCACCAGAAAACAAGATTCAGCTGGCATTGTTTTAAGTTAATGGTGTTTTTCTCAGGAGCATGTATGCTGTTGTCTGCTCAAAACCTACCCATATTTCATTTCACTGAATCATTGTACTTTTGCATAGCCATTGTTTAGGAGTTTGATCAAAGCAGAACATAACTGCACATATCTTGTAACTGAAGGGTGATCCCAACTTAAAAAAATTATTTTTTGCTGATCCCTATTGTTTCCATACGTTTAATGTAGACAGTGACTATTTAGAGCATTCCTGTTTTTAATTAATCACATCCAAACATGCCATACTACTCATGTGTATATTGCTTCATGGCCTAACTACATTCTTTGCAATGTTTTGTAGGAAACAAATTTCTCCTTTTTTGCCTCCCTCTCTCTCATTAGTTGAGTGCTATTTCACTACTGACAACTTCTTTTTCATCTTCAATCTGGTGTGGCTCTTGATACTTAGACCCATAGTTTTTCTGCATCAGACTTTGCCAGGTAATCAAGGATCCAAAAATCAAGTGCCTCACACACAGGGAAGCTACTACCTATGAGAGCTGTCAGGCTGTAGCTCTTGCTTCTTGCCTGAGATCTTTAACTTTGCATCAATCACATGGAGCTCCTTATAATTTCTTGCCTATGTGCTGTGATAGAGTCCTGGCCATAGGATACAAGAATTGGCAAGTCTCCTTGCTCTGTCTAGGCTCTCTAATAATCCTCAATTTAAAGTATTTAGAAATTTCTCCCAACTTTGCCACATGAGGAAGACAGTGTAACTGCATTGAAAATCAAAGTAACTTTGTAAATGGTCAAAACTCTAGGATTTTGATATTTACTTACCTTTGGGGCCTGTTTAAAACCCTGCAACTCTGTGGCAAAGCCTACAATTGCCCCAGCTACCTACTATCAGAGAGCTGCCTATTTGATTATTCTCATACATTTGACTCTGCATTGGTTTATTTCTCAGTTGTTTAAATATGTCATCTGGTTATAGATGCTTAGAAGAATCACAAAAAGGCCTTGAATAAAACTCTATGTTCAACTGAGAACTTCATTCTGGATCTCATAGATCCCATGAAACCCACCATTGCAAAGCAAGGGAATTTATACTCTCAAGATTGGATTGTTTCTCCAGAAGAGAAAAACTGGCCAGGAAACCTCACAGTGGAACTCATTGTTACTTTTTTTTCTGGTCATTTCTATCACTTAAAAGCTTTGGCCCTTCACAGGATAACCAGGGACAATTTATATCTTCCTGGAGTTGGCAACAATTTATCCAACAGCATTATCTAGCTCACAGGCAGAAAAGTAAATTGATTTCATAGGAGACAATGTGGTCTACAATGGATCTTAGACTGACCACAAGGAGGTATTTCTAATTGTGAGTACTGATGATGTTAGAATTCCAGTTGGACATTGCACAGAGATCCTCATTGGTATATATCTTTCAAGTGTCAAAGCATCTTTTCAGGCCCCTGTGAAAGGGAGAGGGGATGATGGCTCATATTGTGTCTGTAGGTATTTTCTATGTCGCCAAGGTTTACCCTACTGATGGATTCTTGCCCCCCCCCCCCCCCCCCCCCCCGCGGCTGCCCCCTCCCGCCACCAATCCTCAGAGGTAGTGTGAGATACTGGAATGAGCTAGTTGGCAGACTGGATAGCTCTAAGCCTAACTCTGTCTTAGCTGTATGAATGACTTTTGGGCTACATTGGTCCCTCTTAGCTTTCTTTTCTTCAGAGTGGGAGCAACAGTCTCTTCGATGCCTAGATTCTGAAGTCTTTTAGGGGAAGGAATGAGCTGATCAATGAAAAAGACTGCTGGGAAAAAGCCAACAGCAATGCAATAGCAAGCTTAAGCACAATGTCCTTAGAGCCACCAGTGTGATCTGATCTGTTTATCACGAAGCCTGGAACCTGTTGCCCATCACTTGAATTATATGTCTTCAGGAACAGAAATGATTGGCCTGATGAAGTCTTTAGATAAGGAGTATCGATTCTGCCAACATTGCTATGCTTGATTTTCTCAACTATGTCTTCAAGGGCTGCGTGATAAGGGTCTCTAGGGGCCTTGTTGTCAGGATGATTTATGATTCCAATCAAAGCACAGGAGACAGGACATAATTTCAGGTATTGAAGGCAAATGATGTCATACTGTTGGTAGCAATACTGGTTCTATCTTTGCTCCAAATACTGTTTGAAATATTTTTAACAGAATATTTAGAATAATGTTCTCCCAAGGCTTAAAAAATTGTTCCTGCCCTGCCTGAATGGATGAAACTTTAAAAATATATTTTAGTTTGTGAATGTGGAATTTTCCATCTCTTCCTCTTATGACTATGGAGCTAATGGCAAGCATCCCTGAAGCTGAAGAAGTGAAATGTCTGCTATGGGCTCCAGCACAGGGATCTGGGGGCTGGACTCCCTCAGATCTCCCTTTGGGAGGAAACTACTGGTTGTTTTCTCCATTCAATGCTTTAACAGGTTCTCTCTCCTAAAGATTTTGCCAAGACTACCACAACTACATATTATTTGTTTTCAACTGTGTCAACCATTGGTGTGTTTTTAGTGAAAAGAAAAAGCAAACTGAGCCCCACATTTCCCTCTTGCACACTTGACTCAAGCCCACACTTCTCACGCTTTGGATTGCCTTTCATCCGTCCACTCCTGCTTGGTGCTCTGGAGAGCCTGTGTCTTCTGCTCATCCACCTGGACATAGTCTACTCTTTGCTCTTCTGAAAGAAGTTTCTGAGGGGAAGAATCAAAAGGTTTCCATTATATCTTAACTTAATAATTCAGGAAAATACCTACCCTTCTTTGGTAGATTACATTGTCATTAAATAATTTCCCTTCCTCTCTATAGAAACACGTGTGTGTGTGTGTGTGTGTGTGTGTGTGTGTGTGTGTGTGTGTAAGCATTCTGTAGCCCTCTGACTTGGTTTGACCAAAAGAATGTGAGTTGAAGTCACACGTGGCAATTCTAAGGAGAAAAGATACTTCCTGGTATTCGGTCTCCTTTTCCTCTTCTAAGAACCCTGAATCAAAGATGACCTGGAACACAAAGGCCTACTCTGAAGTAGTCTTTCTCATGAACTATAAACTAAAAGAGCCTTTGTTGTTAGGAGCAGCTGAGATCCACAGGCTGTTTGCTCTAAATTCAAACAGACTGATGTGGCTTTTGTTTTTGTTGCTCCCATCCTTTTGTCCAGCTTTTCTTTTTTTTCTTTCTTTTTTTTTGTCAGTCATGGGGCTTGAACTCTGGGCTTGAGCACTGTCCCTGCGCTCTTCAGCTCAAGGCGAGTGCTCTACCGCTTGAGCCACAGCACCACTTCCGGCTTTCTAGTGGTTTATTGGAGATAAGAGTCTCACGGACTTTCCTGCCCGGGCTGGCTTTGAACCGTGATCCTCAGATCTCAGCCTCCTGAGTAGCTAGGATTACAGGCATGAGCCACCAGCACCCATTGTCCAGATTTTCTTGAGAACAGTTCAGGTTTTGGGGACAAAACACACAAATGGAGCCATGCTATATATTCTGTCCAGCAGATTGCCTTTTTCCACCAAACAATACATGTTTAGACACAGCGTGGATCATAAGCATCCTGTGCTGATGTACCATTCATTCATTCCACAACTTACTCTGTAAAAACAGAGATATTACTGGCTCAGATCATCTTTATTGGTACAATGCCGGTGATACTCAGAGCAGCTCTTAATGTAGGTGCTATTATTTCTGATCCCCACTTTTCAGATTAGAATATTATCTAGTGGAGCTAAAACTGAGTAACCTGCTAAGAAGTTTTGCTTCTACTTAGGTCTCCTATTTATAATTCCCTAAAGTGTAGCCAGACTAAGGTTTTATATGTACCCTAAACAGGCTCTTCCTATGTCTAGAGAGCCTTCTGCTCTATTCTCATCTCTGCCTAAGGATTTTTTCTATTACTTTTATGGTCAAAAATTTGAACAGCATGAATATAACGTCTCTTTATATACATTTATCCAAACAATATATGCCAGAAGGAAATATCCAGGATTTCATTTTTTCTAGAAGGCAGGATTAGGGTCGATTTTAAACACTTTTTCATTACACATATCTGTATTTTTTAAGACTTCCTAAAGAGATAACACATGGTTTGGTAATAAGAAATACACAAGCAGATGTGTGATCACTTGGGAATTCTCAGACACAAGATCCTTCCTACCTGTTGCACAGGAGCTGGTGATGCTGAATTAAAGTCCAGGGCCAAATAATCTAGGCTGAATTTCTTTGTCCATGCAAGAGCACCACTGCTCAGGGAGTTGACCATTCTGTGCTCCTCCTAGGAATCAATATCATAGGACTCCAGTTAATGATGCCTAGCCAGGTTGTCCCTGGGAACGAAGGGCATATTTGGTGTCATCCAAGTAGCTGCCATCATCAGATCATAAGAGACCTGAGAAGACCTGCCCACACATCTGAATGAGATACATTTCAAAGACAATAAAGCCAGTTTAGCATTCACTATGACAAGACAGGGTTTACCAAAATTCTCTTATGAAAGAATTTATGGATTTGACAGGCTCATGGTACTTTTAAAGATTAACTCTTGAAACAATCACTACATTTATGAAAGTTCTAGAAAAGGAATTCCAAATGCGCCTTACTGCTCTGCATCCTGGTTAACAACTGGCATTGTCAGATCTTTAAACCTTTTATCCAGCTGGTGATGTTTGGTAAAGTAGTATCTTAACGGGGTTTGATTTTTTTATTTCCTCAATTAGCTACCTTGGACATGTTTTCATGTGTTGAAGGCCCATTTATTGTTTTTCTGTCTGTTTACATTGTGGTTTCATTTTGGTAATGAAGTGTATTTTTTCCTATTTATTTTGAATACTTCCTCATATATTTTAGGGACTATCTAAGTATGTTTTGGTTATACAAGATGCAGATGGCCATTTCAGTTTGTGGCTTGTCTTTTAAAATGGTATTTCTTTTTAACAAAAAGAAGTTCATGCTTCTAATATGTCTTTCCCTGTGTGTTTTGCACATGACTTTTCTTCAGAAAATCTTTGTCTAAGCTTAGATTATGGTTTATTTCTCCATACTATTTCCTAAAATGATTAAATTTTAACCTTCATATTTATGTAACAGTCTCACTTGAGCTAATTCTAATATATATTGGCAAAGATACATACACTTTGTTCCTTTTCTAATTATTTTTCTTTTACACAGGGCCTCACTCTAGTTCAGGCTGGGCTGGAACTCAACATTTTCCAGCCTCTGCCTTTTTCCCCAGTTTATTTATTTCTAAATTATACATTTTTTTGTCTTTTCTTTTTTGGTACTGGGGATCGAACCCAGGACGTTGCGCTTGCTAGGCAAGCGCTTTGCCACTGAGCTACATCCCAGCCCCTAAATTATACATTTTTTTATCTTTAAGTTGTTGTAAGGGTTTCCAATTTAAGTGTCAGTTTATCAGCACAATGCATCTTCATCAATACCTGCTTCATTGTTCTCCCACTTGTTACTTCTTGTGTAGACTTGCTCTTTTCTTAGTAATACAGCCTTTCTGCATTTAGACATCAAGCAAGCTATATTATGGTCTGGAATCTGTTTATGGGCTTTCCCTTCCATCCTATTGGTATATAGGTCTATTTTTGTAGCAAGACTGTGTTGACTGTTGCAAGTGTTAATAACAAAAATTTCACCCTCCTTGTTCTTCCAGAATGTCTTGGTTATTCTTGGCCCTTTGACCTTAACAAATATTCAAATCAGCCTCAAAGTTTCTCAATAATCACCCTTAGGTCTTTCATAAGAAAAATGTCTAATAGTTTAGTCTCCCACTTTAGGAATATAATCTATTTCATTTATTTAAACCCATTCAAGTTTTTTTCTATAGTTAATATTTTCTCTATAGTGTTTTTGATGATGTTTTATTACTTTGTTTTTTTATTATAGAGGGTCTATTTTCTTTAAATTCTACTTTTGATTTCTTACCACTGTATAGACATTCAACTGATTTTGTGAATTGATTTTATATCCATCAATCTCAATAATTCCTTTGATTAATTGTAATATTTCTAATAGCTTATTAAAATTTTTGGGCAGCGATCACTACATTTGTAAATAATTGTGGTTTGTCTTCTTCTTTACGTTGTAATCATTATTTCCCTTAGTTCTTTAATTTGACATATGTCATTGGATGAGAATTCAACTATAATGCTGGATAGAAATGGTTAATATCCCACTGTAACCCACATATAGCTTTTCCAGGAAAAACTCAAAAAAGAAACTTCAGATTTAAATGAAACGGTGGACCAATTGAACCCAACACACACCTCTAGAACATTTCACCCAGCAGTTGCAGAAGTCATATTCTGCATTGGAACCCATGGAACATTCTTAAAAACAGACCATACTCAAGGTCATAAAGTCAGTATCAGTAAATATTTTTTAAAAAGTTAACCCTTGTAACTTGTCAGACCCTAACAGAATAAAGTTAGACCTTATCAGTAAAAAATTTTAAAACTGAAGAAAATATTCATACTCATTGTGAATGGACAAAACAGTGCTTAATATTGAGTGGATCATCAAAGACAAGAGGGGAAATCCAAAACTTTCTTAAATCCAATGAAAATGAAAACACAACCCACCAGAACATTTGGAACACAGCAAAGTCAGTTTAAAGTTTATAGCTATGAGAACCTATATCAACAACATATTTCAAATTAATATCCTAATAGTGTTCTTGAAGCTCTTAGAAAAACAAAAAGAAGCCGAATCCAAAACACTACATGGAAAGAAGTAATAAATATCAGGACAGAAATCAACGAAGTAGAGATTTTTAAAAAGCTATACAAGGAATTAACAAAACAAAAAATGTTCTTTGAAAAGATAAACAAAATTGATAAACCCTTAGCCAATATGATTAAAAGGAGAAACCACACAAATAAATGAAATGAGAGAGATGAAAAGGGGGATATTATAATAAATACTAGTGAAATCTAGAATATTATGAGGGAATATTTAGAAAAGTTTTACTGAAACAAACTGGAAAATTGAGTAAAAATTGGTAACTTCAAACTACCAAAATTGAACCAAGTGGTATAAACTAAACAGATCTATTAAAAAGCAATGATTATATAATCACTTAATCTCAATAAAAATATTTTAAAAAGCAATGAGACTAAAACAACAGTAAAGGATCTCTCATCAATGAAAAGTCCAGGACCCTATGGGTTCACAGCTCAAATTTATATAGCTTTTTAATACCAATGCTGATCAATTTTTTTTCATGAAACTGAAATGGAGTGATCAATACCACACTCATTCTTTGAAGCCAATATTTAGTCCCATAAGTGGACAGGGACACAAAACAAAGAAGACCTTATAGATCAACATCTTCTTTCATGTCAAGATGCAAGGATGCTTCAATATATACAAATGAAAAAAACATAATACAGTACATTAACAGATTTAAAGTAAGAATCACAAAAACATCCTAATAGATGCAGAAAAAAAACCTTTGACAAAATACAACATCCGTTTATGATAGGAAAGCTTTGGAGTAGCTACAAACAGAAGGCTCATAGTCCAACATATGAAAGACTATAATGACAAACCTATAACAAACATTATAGTAAATGATGAAAATCTGAAGCAATTTCCTTAAAAATTGGGAACAAGACAGATGCCCACTCTCACCACTCCTATTCAATATACTATTTTAATCTTAGTCAGGGCAATAAAGTGACAGAAAAATATAAAAGGAATAAGGAAAAAGTCAAAATTTCCCCATTTGCAGATGATTTGATCCTATATCTAATAGACTCTAAATGCTCCACACTCAAATTCCTGGAGCTGATAAATAACTTCAACAAAGTAGCAGGACATAAAATCGACACAAAATATGTAGTATTTCTGTGTAATAACAATAAGAACATAGAGAAGAAAATTAGGAGAATGAGTTTATTCCTAATAACCTAAAAATATCTAGGAATAAACCTAAATAAGTTGGCGAAGGGCCTCTGCAATAGAAACTATAAAACTTTGAAGAAATAAATTGAAGTAGATACCAGGAGGTGCAAGGAAATCCCATGTTCACGGATTGGCAGAATAGAGAAAGAAAACAGCCGGACTTCCAAAGGCCATCACTAAATTCAATGTAATAGCTATCAAAATTTCAATGTCATTCTTTGCAGAAATGGGAAAAAAACAATCCAGAACTTAATATGGAAACACAAAAGGCTCCAAATAAGTCAAAGCAGTTTTCAACAAAGAAAGCAATGTTGGAGGTACCACAATTTTAGACTTCAAATTATACTACAGAGTCTTAGCAAACAGCTTGGTACTGGCACAAAAACATATCTGAAGGGGCTGGGAAGGTGGCTCAGTGGTAGAGTGTTTGCCTCACATGCATGAGGCCCTGGGTTCAATTCCTCAGCACAACATAAGCAGCAAAAAGCTGGAAGTGGCACTGTGGTTCAAGTAGTAGAGTGGTAGCCTTGAGCTGAAGAGCTGAGCACTCAGGCCCAGAGTTTAAACCCCACGACTAACAAAACAAAAAACATCTCCCACCACATAAAAACCATACCTGAAGACCAATGGAACAGACTAGAAGACCCACAAATGATTCCACATACTTACAGCCATCTGGTTTTTGACTAAGGACCCAAAATGTATTTTGGGAAAAAAACTCTTTAATAAATGGTGCTGAAAGAACCAGATTTCCATATGCAGGAATCTAAAAATGGATCCATGTCTATCAATTTGTACATATAAATTGTAATATCAATTCAAAGTGGATCAAAGACCTTAATATATGATATGAAACCTTGAAACAACTAAATGAAAGAATAGAGGGGGGGAGGGGGGGAAGGATTGGGTGGGGGGAGGGGGAGGCTGGGAAGGGAGGTGGAGAGTAAACAAAGGAGGAGGCTGCAATGCTTCGTAAGAAATGTATGCATTATCCTGCCCATGTAATTGTAACCCCTCTGTACAGTATGTTCACAAATACAATAAAATAAAATTTTTTTAAAAAATAAGAAAGAATAGAGAAAAAGGGCTGTGAAGGTAGCTCAGTGGTAGAGTGCTTGCCTTGCATGCATGAGGCTCTGGGTTCGATTCCTCAGCACCACATAAACAGAAAAAGCCAGAAGTGGCACTGTGGTTCAAGTGGTAGAGCTGAAGAGCTCAGGCCTAGATTTCAAGACCCATGACCAACTTAAAAAAAAATAGAAAAAAGCTAGAACTTATTGTCATGGGTAGAAACTTTCTGTATAAAACTCCAGGACCTTAGCAACCAGAATAGAGTAGAAAGGGATGGGAATGCAGTCACGA